TGATCCATGTGTTGAGCATCTCAAGTCCAAACGACTAGAGAATTAGAATTTTACGCGCTGGAGCGCGATTTCAAACTCAGACTCGTCCAGCACGCATCTAGACCCTAGAGAACCTCCATTCTCCATTCTCCAATTTTTCCTTTCCATTCAGTCTCAACATCTCCTCATCCCATCCGGAGGTTGTTTTCTTGGTTGGAGACCTCATACAACCACCTTCCGAGACCTCCTCATTTCTCATTCCATTTCTTTAGTCCACTAAAGCTTCTTGTTTATATTTCAACTGTTATTGTAACCTCAGAAACTTTGTAGACTTTCCGTCCCTCTTGCCCTGCCATATCACTGCTGTACCCCTAACCGTGAAGGCCGAATATAGGCCGAAGAGCTCAAGACCGGGGCTCAGAAGCCCAGCCTTTGTCGAGCACTCTGGTTGGTGTGTCGGCGAAATTTCGTACGTATTTCACCTGTGAAGGTTCGTCACAGGTCGAGTTGTTGGTGTCCTTGGCCGAGGTTTTGGCAAATATTATGCCAGTACTTCGACCAGACCTCTACAGGGCGACAGTTGTGGCAGGGTGAATTTCCACTTGTAGCTTAGATAGTGAGTATGACTTTTGGTTCTTGAAGTGCTTCAATAGGTCGCAAGATTAATAAGCTGGGAGTCATTTTCCAGAAAATCTCGACATGGTGAAGAATATCGGTTGTTTTGATGTAAACATCAAACAGGTTTCAGCCCGCCTACGATTCACATTTGGGTTGTAAATGTTTAATTTCATCGGGGTCTGTGGTCTCGAAATCTCTACAGGTCGTGTTTTCGACCAAAAACTTGCCAACACTTTTCCCTTTGCCATGTTGACAAAAACTTTTAAAAGCGTTCCTTGTCGCGAATTAATCTCGGTTCTAGGAGAAAATTTCACTCTCAAGCCTTTAAAAGGTACCAGCAATTACTATTGAATCGTCGTCCTAAATTTTGCGCTTCTATATTCGCTGTTGTATTAATACGCTCTGTAACCTCATGATTGATGAGTCATTTCTTGATACTTGTATACCTTACTACTTTTCAGTTTTCCATGCGTGGCTCAACGTCTCCATGATCCTAGTGCAGGCGGCAGCTTGTACATCCAAAAGCTCGAGGCAAAGGATCTATTGATCCCAGTGAAAGATCATGCACATTTTTTCAAAAGTCGAGGCCTTATCGTCCACTTACGTTTTTCTTATTTAGCCAAGGAGGAGAAACCATCCGATGAGTTTCGGGAATAAACCTAGCTCCTATATCAGCGGTAGTGGATAAGATCGAATCGGTCTCTCTTGTTACGGAGAGGGAGAAATAGATGGACATCCGCACCGCTTGTGGTTCTGGTGTCCAGGCCTCACTTGGCTAGGGCTGCGGGTTTTTTGTGACTTTTTCCCGAGCACACAGTTATTATTGCTACCACTTTTATTTTTTTGATATTAGAGGATTCCGTGGAGAGGGTGGCTGAATTCCACGGGTAAACACTGTGCTGAATGGCTATCCATCACAGGCAATAGATCAACGGTCTTTCATTGTAGCAAAAGAGGGTATAAGCACAGTACAGGATGTGGCCTCAGTCGGACAAGGGCCCAATGTGTTAGATATAGACCCATGTAGCACAATAAACACTAAAACACACGCGCGTCCTTGTTCAGAATCATGTTCAATCCAGCAGTCCTGAATAACCACCATAGAATGCTGTTACGAAACTTGGCTTGGAAATAAAAAATGATACTCCCGCGCAGTTTTCTGCACAGCTACCTCACGACAAAGCCTCAACTTGTGCTGATTATCCACTCTGATGCTACAACCCGTGGCTGTAAAGTCGCGTCCTGCTTGTCATGGACACCCCCGCCCTTCCCTAACTTATCACCACATGAATTCCACTCCCCTTAGCCTGCTCCTTGAACTGCTGCCGGCAGCCTAATTCGTGCAAAGTTTAGAGGGCCGTCACTCTCCGCGCTTTGGTCATCATGTGGCCGGTGCTTTGGCATCGGCTGAGATAAGCCACTGATCTTCTATACATCACTGTGCAGTGTGGCTGTGGAATGATTAAAGCGATGGTGGTATGCCGCGAAGCCACATTACCAAGTTCATGATACAGTCAGGCAAGCAAAGTCAGCTTTAGCTATTGTTTTTTACTCTGGCATTTTACGCCAGCTTTTATTAATTCATTTTATTGTCCTATCTGAGTCTATGACTATGTAGGACATGCAGGTCCTCTCTGCCTACAGGCCAAGGATACCTATGCCAGTAGTATATCCCCTCCTATGCCTCCCATACAGCTCCCCTCAAACAGTACCACCCCTCACAAGTCCTGATTCGATCATACACTTAGAGGAGCCCTTTGCCCTTCATTATCTCCCCTCTCCAGCCAACGAAACGATGGCCATTTGCGGGTGTATGGCAGCCGGGAAAAATCACAAAAACCACTGGGTACGGGGTGCGGGGCTCTCCTAATACCGACATTAGGACTAAATCCGAAGACATATTGCCCCTTCTGAAGCGTTCGACCTCGGAGAATTCACACTCTGCCTTTCTAGCCTCCTTCCAACTCCTTCCCGAAGGTTGTGCTGGAATGTCAGAAAAGTCTTGACAGAGCGTGATTGCTGTATGGTAGCTTAGCCCGACTTCTTTTGTACCGTCCAGGGCGCTTGGGAGTGCCGTTGACTCATCGACAAAAGATGCCCACCTGGCTAATTAGCTGAAATCTTGGCCTTGGAACCCGCACCAAATCCAAAGTTGAAAGCCCCTCGAAAATGTCAGTCCCAGCATGGTCTTCAGAGACCTGTTCCCCCTCTCGTTCCACATCTCAGGCGCCTGTCCTTACTTAAGATGTACAACCCCATTAGAGCATCAGTCCCCCATAAACCAAGAACCCAACTTTTTATATTATGACTTAATTTCCTCCTTGCGGGTATAAGTAGCGTCGTAAATTTGTAGTGAGTGATGGCCGGTAATAAATGAGGCAAGCTCCTGTTTGCAATAGGGGCGACGCCTTTATCGGTCGGCGAGGCGAGATGATGCGTGGTTAGAAAGAGGTTGAGGAATCAGATGAGAATGATAAGAGTGGTATTGTCGAGAAGTCTTCAAATAGAGATGTGGATGTGTTTGCTTTCGAATTCGATTCGGATGCGATTCTTCTTGGCTATCCCAGATATGCAGAGCATGCTGAACGATTACACCGGCACCACTGGAAGGTGAAGAATTCGTCTTTGCCGGTTTTACGCTAGCTTTGATCGCGCCTAGCCATGGTGTAGACAATTTTGAAGCTGATGCATCAAGCCGACATTTAAAAACATGGCATTTACGGGGGGATAGTGTGTTTTCGTATCATTCATAGTGGCATAAATATTGAATTCGTAGAATACTTTCTTAGGTGAGGAGACTAACACGGAGAGAGTCGCGTGAAAAGTCGAGTTGGCGTAGTTTTTGAGAATGTCGACGCCGGTAAGAGAGGCAGTTCCTTGTAAACGAATTCCTCAGAAGCTTAATCTAACGAACTGTTCATGCTAGTACTGAAGGAATCAAGCCTATTACATGTTGTAGTCGTAAAATGTCTGCAGGTTGGAACTTGACTGTAAACAAGCTGACATGGCGTGTTCAGACTATCAACTCGTGCAACACTCCACAGTTAATTCCATTAGGTGAGTATAAACGTCGTAGAGGGATTCTTCCATCCTCAGGCTTAGAAGACATTACCTACAGGCGTTCAGCCCCTTTCCTCCCCGGTCTCCATTTGAATCAATTCTATCCATTTTAACATCGAAAGCCTCCTGATAGAAGATGCACTAAACAGTCTAACAAAGCTCGCTTCGTAGATGGCCTTCCGTCGGGCTAGGTGAAAATCCTGACATCGAGGTCCAGATCTTGAGTCCAAACTAAACAATACATGCTAAATGAGAAGGGGTTTATGCTAAATAGTTGGAGCTTCTGGGATACCTGGTAAATGTAGTCACATTGCCCAACTCACCACATATAGCAACAGATTATTTGGCTACCAAAACGTGAAAAACTGTATTGCTATCTAGTTGTCCACTACCTAGAACTCATTCAACCGCTAAAAAGATTTTCGGGACAAAAATAAATACCCTTTCCTCCCACGAGAGGTAGAGACTAATTATCTGATGAAGGTACTAGTAACTTTCAAAATTACGTTACATTGTGGGTATGAAGCTAGAATCTGTGAAATTATTTATGAATTGTCCCAAAAGGTGGGCATTGTAATACCTCCATAACTACTCTTAAAGAATAGAATAGACTGTGCCGTTGTAAAGCAACATACTCGCGGAATCCCACACCGCTTTGATAGACTAAGCTAAAACTGAAAAGCTAGTAGGGATAAGTGGCAAGCCATAACCTTGTCTAATGTTCTGCCCCTTATCATGCATACTCCCAACTTACCCTTCATCTGCTTATTCACAGAACTTCTCATCATACCTTAACTCAGCTTACGTGGAAAGCTTACTTTGGAAGTTACAGCAGAAATTAAGTGGTCATAGTGGATTATTATCTAACTCTTCGCTCTAGTTTATCTTGAACGTTAGCATGATTGTTACTCATTAGAATTTGAACCTAACTTTCAAGGCATTCCATCTTATATTTTTTGACAGGGCTCCGTAATCTCGCTTCCCTCCGACCTCCGCTCAACATATAGAGTGTATCCATACTACTCACTCATCATCAAGAGTCCTAGACCATACAGCATCGAGATTCCAGAGGCGTCCATCTAACTGGAATTTCACCCACCATTGCGCTCTGCACATGCTGTCGATTTAATTGGGTCATAATTTTCATTTTTTAAGAAGCAATACTCCCGGCTGCGCGACTTGACTCGTTCCATCGGCTCAAATCAGTTCATCAGGAGTTTGAGGGAGAAAGAGTCTACTTTGAATTATTTATGATTGATGCGAACAGTGGAATAATTATCAACTAAGTTTGCCAGCTTTAATCCAAACTATCAGTGAACTTCAAGGGACTTGACCTCTCATCCATGAGTGATGAAACTTCCGTATCGACAGGGCTAGATCTGAACTCTTCAGTTTCATCGTGTTCAGGAAATTTGGCCAAGCATACAAACTGTACGCATTTCTCCAAAATCTCTTGGTTAACAATACCCTGATTTCTTGCGCATTCACGAGCAATTTTACATTGGCTAACTTGTAGGTTTAGCCATCATTAAACCACAAATATTCGACACTCCAAAACCAGTATCCACCGACACAAATAATCATCAATTGAAGGAATATACCAACATAGGCCCACCTGGACTGGAGATCGAGAACATCAGCAATCAAGTAGTCGATGAGACTAATCAAGTACAAAGAAAACCCCTTCGACTTTTGCACTTACTTTCAAAACGCAGGGCTCCTAAAATCCAAATAATTCCATCATCAACGGACCTAAGTGGAACTACAGCTCAAGAACCTCAGGATAAAAGTGAATTCGGGGTAGAAGATTTCAAGCAAAGAATCACTGGAAGACGGCGGAATGGTGGGGACAAAATGACTACAACACCACCTAGACATTCTACAGGCAACACTCGGGAGCCAAATTCCCAGACATCTACGTCGATAATTTCGCGCCAGTCTAAGAAGAAAGGATTTCTCTCGTTTCTGTGCTGTGGTGTACCTGACAGTGCCAATCCCCTTGATCCTAATGAAGACATCGTCCAAGCAAACAAAGTTTCAAAAGTTCCACTTGTACGCCCTTCTACAGCTAGTCGACCAGAACAAGGCAGCATAGGTCTTAAGAACAGCGAATCTGCAACACCTCTTTCTGAAAAAGACACACTACAAGCAGAACCCCAGCCGACCGATACTTTTGAGGATAAGACTGAGGTTTCTGGGGCTATATCAGAAAAAACAACGGAAGCAAGGCGTGAAAATGAGAATGAAGACCATGCTACGAATAACACATCTCCAATTAAGTCGTCAAAGGCATCGGAACTTCCCAATATCACCATATCAGATCCTTCTAGCTTATTGCTCATCATTCAAAATCCGTCAGACTCCGAAAAATCAAAATCGTACACGCAAAATGAGCCACAATCTGGTGCGCATTACAAAGAAGACCTGAATCAAGACTCAAAGCTTGTTTTACACCAAAAGAGAGACACGGCTCAAGCTTCACACACGCAAAATCTCAAGATCGATACAAATCAGCCGCATAACGATCCTGTCTCTCGAAACTTTCTTGGGATATGTAACGATGTGGTCGCAACTTCAAATGAGCAGAAACAACAGTATCTGCTTCCCCCAATAACCCCTCGATTTAAAGGTAAAAAATGTCTCGTACTAGATCTTGATGAGACTCTCGTACATAGTAGTTTCAAGGTATTTCCACGAGAATTATATCTGAACCCTGCTAACATTGCCAGATATTGCACCAAGCTGATTTTACCATTCCCGTAGAAATTGAGGGACAAAATCATAACGTCTACGTAATAAAGCGACCTGGCGTCGATCAGTTCATGAAGCGAGTCGGTGAACTCTACGAAGTTGTTGTCTTCACTGCTTCTGTATCCAAGGTATGATCAGTTAAAGGATCCATCTCCTGTCTGCGGCGGCTCATCTCAATTAGTATGGAGACCCACTCCTGGATCAATTGGACATTCACCATGTTATACATCATCGTCTATTCCGTGAAAGTTGTTATAACCACCAAGGCAACTACGTCAAGGATTTATCTCAGGTCGGGCGTGATCTTCGGGAAACAATTATAATTGATAATTCTCCAACGTCCTATATATTCCACCCCCAACATGCAGTGCCTATAAGCAGTTGGTTCTCTGATTCTCACGACAACGAGCTCCTCGACTTAATTCCTGTCCTAGAGGATCTTGCGGGAGCAGATGTTCGAGATGTTAGTCTAGTTCTCGATGTCGCAATCTGATGCAATTTTTGCCATGCAATCCTGCATTAAAATACTTGTCATCATAGCGATTGGCGTTTTGGTTGGTTTACCTGGCTCATCGTAAACATTCCTGTTTAATTTATATAATATGTTCAGTTCGAGCCCAGATTCACCTGTTTTATCGGAGTGCAAGGGTTTCATTTTGAACTAATTTTTCCTTTAAGGCAATATCGCCATTAACTGGCTGGTATAAACCTAACGATGTAAATCCTATCGTTAAAGGCTCACAGAACGGCATTTTACCTACACAAGTTTCATTTGTTTATTTTTAAGGAGCAGGCAAGATAACCTTGCCAAACAGGCAGGGGAAATAAAGTTGTATTCAGAATTAGTTCACCTAGGCTCTCGGTGTCTGCGCTTCACTGCTGATCAAATTGATGGTTAGATGTGAAGCCACGTTTTTAAAAGTCACCGAAGCCTATACTAAACCTCGACTCTAATTGGAATGCTAACCAAACGAGTCTACCATAAACGACAGTTGTACTCAGGAGACAAAAAGACAAGTTGAGAAAAATGTACTTGATCACCCATCACTTGAAATATAAACTCTAATTATGGGGCTTTTTCACTTTCTAATTACAGGTATGCGAAATATATTCTATCGAAATCTGTTTATTATAATGCATGTACCATCTACCAAAAAGTCTACAGGCCAAGCTAGGCGACTTGCACTAAAATGAAACTATCACAGCAAGTTAAATATCAAAGCTGAATTTACTACTATGTGTCTTGTGGAAAATCCAATCAAATTTATTTATTCATATCAGAATCGACAAATCTTCGTAATTAATTTTAAAATTAGCGTGATACAGTGTGAGAAGAACAAAACCTGGTATGGTTTGCAAAAAGGGATATTTGCACATAGAGCTGTATTTCGGGTGATAGTTTACGACCTGTAGGATGGCTGCACAGACTGTGAAAGAGTATCTCTCTACCTTTTTCTACACTGAATGTTACCTTCGCAGTTTACTTTTCGAAGTGCTTGTCACTGCTTTCAAACGGATGAAAAATTTATGCCATAAATTTCATGCGTGATAGACAGTTGGTGAAGCTCTTCTTGAAGTAGATTGATGCCATTAGCTAAGGCTATGACACTTAATGGTTTGACCAAAAAAAGGTAAGTATTCCAATTTCAAATCATAGCGCCAACTAGCGCTAGGCTCGTTGGATAATTCCATGATCGATTCAACATATTTCATAAATCACTATGGGATTGTTAGTAGATAATTTGGTGTTGCTCACGTAGTTGCTATTCTAACTGGGTAAAAACTTGTGCACAATCTTCTAGTGCATTTAAGGCGACGGCAACTAATATTTTCAATCAGGTTTTAACGATATTAGGGATGCGAAGACTCGAAAACTCTCGACGGCATCCCTCAAAAGACTACAGATCCCTCATAAGAGCTAGCATAACCTTGATTGAGCGTAATAATAACAAGAAAAGCTTCTATTTTCAATGGACTGACGGTTTGTCCAGATAATGAAGACTAAAGAAATAATATTTGCCAGAATATCTTACTACATGCACCATCAGTTGAGGCTTTTCTGGTGTTTCAATACGATATTCGCTTTGATATGCAGCGATAGTAAGGAAACGAGTTGAAATTAACGTGAGATAAGTGCGATCCAGAGATGTAGACAAATTTGTGACGCTCAGCTGGCCGACTTTTCTCAACTCTCCAAATACATAGCTATATTTTCGAATTTAGCCCTCGTGTCAGCATTGAGAGGGCCCAATGCCCTCTAATTTTCGAGTTTTCTCTGGCCATCATACCCGTATTTCGCGATTCTATCGTTGGCTTTTGAGGGAGAATTGGGGATGCAAAAGGTTCTCCCGAATTTATGATCGGATGAGGACTCTTAAGCGATGGTACTATTTTATGGGAGTCGCAGAAGAGACGGAGAGAACAACAACAAAAACTTTGCAATCAGATTTACAATCAGATTTGCACCACTAATTCTTGATCATCTGTTCACATGGCATACAAACAATATGGTGTTGCTAGAAACTAATATCCTAGGGAAGGATATGAGTCGTGAAAAGGATTTTACTCTAGATACCCCTAGACACCTATTCGGGAGATAGCTACAACCTATGTCTGATAATCTTCAGGATCTGGGGGACGAAAGCTCAGCACTTGTCAGCACTTGTCAGCAGTATCTCGTATAGATATACAGCTCCTACTGCAGAATGCGAGGAGCCGAGATTGAGTAACATCTTTGTCCTCAATTCGATGGGGATTCCCGATGGCGTTCGCGTTCGCGCTCGCGCTCATGGCCTGTATCGTCTTCCTCTCTTAGCACATCTCCATAGCACGATTATTATGAAGCTAAGGTCTATCAGATCAAATAGTATGGTCGAAGCTATACCCATAACTCACTTGGTTTTCTTGGTAATGGAGTAGTAGCCACCCGATGAGATTCTGGAGCGTACACAGCTTCCGATGTGACGGTGGTAGACTAGATTAGACTGGCCTCTCGTATTACATAGAAGGGAGATATAGGTGGATATGGGCACTTTGAGTGGCACCGGTATCTAGATCTCGTCTCATCTAGGGCCAGGAGATTTTGAGAGCATGTCCCGCGCAAGCAGTCTCCGTTGCTACTAATTAATTTTTTGGGTACAAGGTTCCGTGGAAAAAGTAGCTGAATTCCGCGGGTGAATGCCGAGCTCCATGGCCATCCATTCGGGGCAAACTATCAGATACATTTTTTCGGAAAACGGATATGAGAACTGTGTCAGATTTGGCCTAGGTCAGTGAAGAGCCCAAAATACTAGATAGTTATATGGTCAAGTAGTACAATAAGAACCATATAAAAGTTTAAACGATGTTTAGCCGACAATTCAAAAATAAGTTGGCGGGAAGGGATCGCAACCACTTCGCTGGACCAGGCAATGACATGTTAAGATGGTGTTCAGCAAATGCCGGAATACCTGGTAGTGAAATAGCGGACGGGCTGGCTCAGTAGACATGCAAATCTTTTCCATTTTCCCTTTCTCAATCCATCTCTTTGCTAGATAGTCATAGACTCAAGTAGTACAATAAACATCACTCACTCACTCACTCACCCAATCCATCTCCCAAGCGAAGAGAGGTATTACATCACGATAAAAAGCCTTTGTAGACAGATAACGAGCCCAAGATACGCCCGAAAAAATGCCACCAGATGATAACCAGGGCCAATATTGGTTGTTTCCCAGAAAAAAAAGAGCTTTGGTCGTCTCTTTGGTCGTCTCTTTGTAGCTCGTTGTGGTGATGGGGAATTTGCTCATTACCACCACCGCTCCAATCACTCGGGCCCTCTCCTGATCCGCGCTCCCGAGTAGGAAATATCTCCTTATCACTTCTTTTGCCGGCTCGCTTGAAGCCGAGCCTGCTTCCATGGCGGAACTAGACATCGAACAATGGGAATTGCATGGATTCAAGGCTCTCCTCAAGGAGCAATAGTTTTTAGTAGATAGCTTCATGCTACCAGATTCTTTGAAATCTAATTTCGACACTAACCTGCACGCTTTTTGTCTAACACCCGACAGGCTTTATTGCTAGGCAGTTTTTTTTTTATTTTAATACATTCGGTCCTAAGTTAAAGCTATGTTTTCCACATTGGGTCAAAGACCGACGGATCCGACAGGGTTCCCTGTAACTTTTCCTACAGCCTAACTCGTTCCAACCTCGTGAATCGCTAGCAAAAGTGCAGCTGATTGAACAAGAACGAAAAATCACAAAAATCAAAACAACTCCGAATACCAGAAGATTCCTCCATATTGGACCCAGTAAATGCGCTCCTCACACATTCCCTCGTCCGTCACACCTTCCAAATGACAAAATTTATTCAATCTCCGCTGAGAGCAAGAGATGAGTTAGCAGGCACCTTTGATCCAGCCGGTATCCTGCTATTGGTTAGTAGATGCCCCAAAAGGGGACATCGTCGAGGTTGCTGTGTCCTCGAACTTCTTCTTCAGATCCTAGAGCTCCGAAACTTGTTGCCTCGGCCATCGAGACATCCTTCGCCGCGGCGATGATCGCTTCTTCGGCCTTCTTTGCTGCAGCCCTGGCTCGTGCCACCTTCGCGAACTCCCATTGTTCGATGTGGCGAATCCACGCGAGCTGCTCTTTGGTCACCGGTCCGGATTTTTTTGGTCTGACTTGGCAGGCCCGAGAATCCAATCGGTGAGGTCCCCCACAGTTGCGACAGCGTGTGAAGGCCTTGCAATCTGTTTCGGAGTGCATATTTGATCCGCAGTTCCAGCAAGCCGGAGCGCGGGAGCAACCACGAATGGCGTGGAAGCCCAAACAGCGTTTGCACTGTTCAATTGATCGACGAGGCTTATGGATGGTAGCCATACCCGAATCGTCGAAAAGGCGGAAGCCCGCACGAGGGGCTTCGTCCCGGTGAAAAAGGGCATGCCAGTTTCGATAAGGCGATCCAGGCCGATATGTCCCATGAGGTCGGACCTGGATTGGATACGCGCTGGTCGTAAGGAATATCTCAGCGGTGACACTTGCAGCATCGGTCGCTACGGGGCCGTACTGTGAAACGATACTTATGGGTACGTTCGGTATCTGTAAGGCGACAAGATCCGAAGATGCTTCGAGTTTGGCGTTTTCACTTGCCAGCTTCGGAGAGACATCTAGGATCTCTTGTCGTATTTTTTCGTTCTTTGCTATAATAGCAAAGCCGGTCTTTACTCGATGAATCGAGGTTATATCATTATAAGAGAGATTAAGCGTGTCCGCTACCTTACTTTTCACAATGTTGTTTGAGAGATTCCGCCATGGGTGCTCCTTTTCCAGGCGAAGGAACAGTCGCTTATCGACTTTCGCCTTGGGAGCTTCTTTCTTTTGGGCTCTCGCCGCAGGTCGCGGCACAGCCTTTGCTATAGGAGCTGCATTTTGTCGCAGTCCATTTTTGGCCACCGTGGCCCAAGTGCTTTTTACAGGCAGCACTGGGACGGCGGGAGTTGTATTGCTCCTGGCTTCTGGAGCCCTTGGGGTCGGGTTCGCAGGGCGAGGAGGGAGGACGTGTGGCGTGATGGCCGTGCCCGTGGCCATATATTGCGCAATGGCGGCGCGTAAGGAGACTCTTATCGAGTCTACGAATTGTCTATTTGACCCGTTGGTCAAAGGGAAGAGGGTGGCTTCGACGCCAGAGATGGCGGCGGAACAGAGGGCCAGATTCGCCGCTGTTTCGGCGGCGCGTCGTTGTTCAGCTTCGACAATTGGTCGAAGCTCTAGGGGACACTCTGCTTTTGTGGTAGCTTTTGGCTGCGACGTTGATTTTGGCGCTGCTTTGACTGCAGCGTTTTCCGACGGTTTTGACGCTGTCGGAGGAGATTTTGACGATTCTCCAGTCCCGTGAGGGACGGAGGATGGTTGGGGAAATTCCTCAACAATTTCAACTGACCCGATCATGTCAGTATCGGGCTCAGTGACGGCGGGGAGGGCTTTTTCCTTCCCTTTAGTTGAGACCTTGCTCATCTCCGCGAATGTCGGAGACTGGGCAAGGTCAGGTAATTTTTCGAGAGCCCTGGGGCGGACTCTCGTGTTGTCCAACTTGGCGTTGGGACGCTTTTTACGAACAGGTGGCATGGTTAAGATGCCAGCGACTCGATGACAATTTACTGAAGGAATGCGACGAGCGCGAGAGGGATGGAGATGAGGAAAGGATGAAGATTCGAAAATTCGAATTCTCTCAAAAATTGTTTGTTTTTTTTTTTTGTTCATAACGTGCTAGGTGAAGTAACTACCGTCGCACTCCTACTGAGGCTTGAGCACGAGTGGGGTCGGGCCGGATCAGGTTAACTACCGTGCAGTACAAATGCCTCGTCCCACCTCAATGACCGGAACCATGCCGAAATGCATCTATGTGTTGAACCATGACGAATTCAGCAGCCCAGAATTGAAAACAAAACAAAAACTTTCACGCGAAATCCTGCATTATAATAGAAAAACTTATACAATCTCTCTTCCGTCATTCTGCCTCGGCCACAACGCGCCTCAGCCTCGAATCCAATCACTCTATCAATGCCAAATCACCTAGGCCTTTGATCTATCACCTCCGAGTCACAGGTATCCCTGCCATCCCCCGACTAGGCTCCGTGTATATCCCGCTCTCCTTGACGTAATCCCTAAACAGCTGCCATCCATTTGATCCGAGCATCGTTTCCAGAGCAGGCGCCCTTCGCCTTCCACTTTTTAACCGCCAAGTTGCCAGTGCTTTTCGACACTGGACAAGGTGACCAGTTGATTTTTCCCTCCCACACTCGCAGTCAAGTGTAGCGTCAGTATGGTTGAAGCGGCGATGATCAGGATCCAAGATTGACAGACCTCTAGATTAGTACGAGGCTCTAATAAATTGTAATGCTTATGTAATGTTGTTCATGTTGGAGTCCGGGCGCAAGATTAGGAATACTGTACTTATATAGACGATACCCTGTATTAATAGAAAACCAAGTTACATCTAGTCTTAAGCTCTACTATACATACTGGTAGATTGGAGCCACGAGACACCCGTAACCTACGCCATCTTAAAGCTAAGCGCATCTCACTTTTCACACATACTGATCCATCAGGAACCTCAATAATATATCGCGAAGTCTCCATGTTCAGTTCGAGAAGTGATTAAACGGACGTAGACCGCTCTCGGTAACGCTAGCTCTGGCGGTTGCTTGCGCCGCATCCCGAGTTCATGATCGGCGTAGTGTTTGGGGCGATTCGAGTGCCACCAGTTCGTCAACATCTGTCTGGCCAGTTCACGAGCTTTCCGTCTAGATGAGGCGAGGGTCATCAGACCAGGTGTCGTCCTAGAGTTGTCCGGCTTGGTAAGCTCTCTTCGAGCGAGTTCATCGGCGATTTCATTTCCTGCCAGCCCTTCGTGGCCCGGAATCCATCCTATTTTGACAGGCGCGGCTGATCCCGCGGCCAGTTTCACGAACTTTTGGATACGCCAGGATGATGAGCCCGTTGTTCCCGTCAGTAAAGCCTGAACAGCCGCGGAATTGTCGAGCAGTATGTAGATAGCGCTGCGTCCTCGATCTCGATTGCTGGCAGTGATTGCTTCTAGAGCAGCCAAAGCTCCATGAACCTCCGCGTCGTAGATCTCCGCGTTGGTAATTCTACCTGAGCCGCTTTGCTCGATTGCCGTGCCTGTGCCACTGATAAAGGTCACAAAGGCCCATGACACTCTGTCGGTTGAAGCCCCAGAACCATCACTGTAAACGCAGAAACAGTCGGGTGAGAGTGAAGGTAGCCACTCTCTAATGAAATTGGCAGCCTCTTTCTTGCTTGTCCAGCAGGGAATTGGCTGAGGGGAAACCGGAGGTCGGAGCGGTGGAGGTAGTTCAGCCTCTGGCAGAAGTCGATACATCCTCTGGACCCTCGAATCATGAACTCTGTCCAGACCAAGTCTGGTTTTGTTGCATGTCTTTAGTCCAAGTCGGTGGCGAGCGCTGTCTGTGCTTTCCGTGGCCCGAAGTCGAAGCGGATGGTAGTCATCCAGTCTCCGGATTCGTGCAGCAGTCTTGAGCCTGCATTCCTCGAGCAGAATGTGTGCAGGTGGAATGCCAGTCTCCCTTCTCAGGGCTGCAATGGGCATGGTGCGCCAGGTTGGTAGAGCCACGCGAATTTCTAAGGCAGAAGTTTGGTCAATAACTTTGCACTGTCTCTTAGATGAATTTCGCGCGACACCCCGATAGGTTTCCCTGGTTGGCCCCGGGTACCAGGATTCCGCTGCGTGCATCGCGATTGGCAGGACTACCGTGCGGATCACTGTGGTTAGTAAGTCGGGTCTTGGTCCCTGAGTACACTGAGTGAGTCGCCGGAAGAGTTGCACTAGCCGCATTGCTTTGCTGGTCCACTTTGCGACGTGGCTTTCGAAGGTCAGACCGCGATCAAGGTGTACTCCGAGCCATCGGATATCGTCGGATGCTTGTACATCGCGAGTGCCTACCCTTATAGCAGGAAGATCGTGACCCCTGGATCTGGGGTCGACGAAGTAGACTATTGCTGGGCAGTTGGTGTAGGCGACAGATAATTTTTCCTGTGAACATAGAAATTTATTTTCTGTATCTTTCCGAAAGTGAAAAATCTCTGTGGAAGAGCTCTTTAGACCTCTAATGATAGTTTAGGGCGCTCGGGAGGTTGGCTCTGGCACAGGTTACACTTGTCGGGCTTGGTAAAAAGCGCTGGCACGTCGGGGAGTTTATGTAGACTCAGCTGGCTAACGCGAGACCTTACGCCTGTGTTTGGGCTGGCACGACGGTAAAAAACGAACAGCATGTCTAGCCTTATGTCTCATGTAAACCAATGCATCTCTATACTTCATGCTTTAGCAGCTAGTCAGAAGCCTTATTCCTTATTTCACCGCGCGCCTGTTGATGGCTAATTGTGCCCAGTGAACCGTACTAGTATCCGAGTCGCGAGCCAGAGACGTCGAAGTAAACCCCTGGCCATCTATCCGAGGCTTCTTGTCGTGTCAAATCAAGCAAGCCGGCTATACTTTCCTACTTTTAATGACTCGGGTGCGGATTCAAAAAATATGCAACAAATACATCTCCTTTGATTTTCAACTTACTGAAGATTCCAGTTGTCCGAGTCATCAGTGCCAAGTGAAACTGATGTCAAGAATCTAGGGTAGTTGGATAGGTAAATTTTTACTACGATAGGAATGGAGAAAAGTTGCCAAAATTTACCGCGTGGCTCCATTCAAACTAGATGTAAGATTGCACTTATTTTTATACCGACAAATCAAACTAGCTGATGATTGGGGACTGTAATTAATGCTGGTTAGTCCTCATCCTACCAGTGTTAGATATCTACAGCATTTCTGTAATTTTTCTGACAACTTTGTCCTCAGCCTCGGCCGGCAAACTCGGTTGTAACCAATCAATCGTAAGCGAGTTAATCTTGGGGCCCCGTGTCCTTTACATGCCGTCAATACCCATAAACAGCATGACTTTTACCCAGTCGACACTTCCAATCTATCGACAAAAGCCTATCTTTTAGAAGTACAGAAAACTTGGTTTTGTCTCAAAATGGTACGAAGAAACTCTTTCAGCTGTCCAAATTTGCTCGAACCACATAGACGCCCTAGTTACTCATTTGATCTGGCTTTAAATTGATATTAACCATTCTTTTAATAGTCTTCTTCACCATCACCCCCAGCCAACGCAGCTGCCGCCTCTGGTCGACAGTCCTCAATGCCTCCTGGTGGTCCTAAAGCAGCTATCCGGCGACGCGCCGCGGCGGATCAAAGAGATAAAGTAGCAAATGCACGTCCTTCGAGTACAAGAGCTGCTGGTGCCGGTGGAAGTTCGAGTACAATGTTGAGTAAGTGTGCATCACAATATTTCAATTTAGATCCATTTTACAGGGCACTAGTGATAGCACGAAAAGCGACCCAGTCGATACTGCTTAAACTTCGCAGATAGTCTCATTAGCACGACAGCTTTCCCTTTTCCAAAAACATCGTCCGATCTCTAGTGGATTTGAAACAGACTGCATCTCTAACCAAACAACAGGGCTCTACACAGATGAATCGCCAGGATTAAAAGTTGATCCAGTCGTGGTATTGGTTCTATCTTTAGTTTTCATTTTCAGTGTTGTATCATTACATGGTTAGTTGACTCCTAAATTTCAACCTTTATTTTCTAACAAATCTGCATTTCAGTTATCGCGAAGGTTACAAGGAAATTTTCCAGTTAGGTTCGAAAATTTGAAAATTTGAAGCGTCTTTTTACTGTAATCCATTATGGAGTAAACGAATTACTTGGTTAACGTGGAATCGTGTATTATAAATTCGTCTGGTCTTTGAAAGATAGCAGAACATATATCATTTTGCCGTGCGCTGGCTCATTACCTTGAAGCTAATCAAATCACTCTTCAACGTATCGCAGGAATGATACAGGCTTTTCTACTAGCATTTGCTCCGAATTAAATGGGGTGTATCCAAATAATATATGCTCAAATAAGTCTTATTTCCTAAAATGCTGTTTTAAACTGCCTTAGTCAACACCAGATCCATATCATATCGACAGAAGCGACACAGTATAATTTCACAATATATTGTTAATTCTGATAAAGTCGTTTGGTGTCCGAGTTGTTATTATGACAAATTCAATCAACTGCAAAGAAAAAAGTTGGTCAAATGGGCGCCACATGGGTATACATTAAACGACACTATCACTAAATCTAAACTTTGAAGTTACAAAACCAGACTCTGAACGTAGGTTTCACTTGGACCTCTTTAATCAGCAATATACCGAAATTATGTGATTTACTACCTTCTTATTTCGAGGAAAACCCAGAACTGTCCCCCAAGCAATCAATTATCACAGAACTTTGGTCGATAACTTTTAAATCATAGTCTATTCCAACTATTTGATGTCATGCTAATTTACCTGCAACGCGAGCAATTAACCAGTACTCAAGTGAACGATACTCAAGAACCTATCCTCTTCGCCCTATAAAATTCTCAGCACTTCAACTGGATTGCCATATGTTGATGAATAATATCTGGTCATCGTACTAGGTTTCTGCAAAAATTTTTGGTTATGATCTCTGATCGTTATACACAGTAAATAAGTGAAACAGGGTACTAAATCTCTAAGATGAGTCACTGTTAATCAACAATACTTAGTCTATTAAATATCTAGTCGGGCAAAAGACAAAATAACCTAGTTTTATGACGATGTTACGAAGACAAAAGGTTGTCACCATGATTCAGCACAGTTATGCCGTAAGAATATTCTCTAAATTCGGTCGAACCAGAACCTGTTACTGCGTCCACATCTCTCCCATAAACATCTGCTCCTGTGAGACATAAAAAAAGATAAGTATTTAAGTATGCCATCCACATACCCTTCGTTAACGCAAGCTTCCTGGCTTCGGTGAAATGAATTTCAAGATTTCTCAAGCTGCACTTATCTCGGCAGAATCAAAATGGGTTAACATTAAGTTTTTATTCGACCATTTTGGTAGCAATGTTCTCATTTTCACAAATCAAACAATGGCATGCAAAATAATCTTCGGAATATAGGGTTCTTCACCGAACTCCAGTATCTACACCTACCTGCATAGTATCGACGTTAAACTCTGGGATTTTTATTGTTTCAGTGATGGAATGACCATACAAGGATATATAGGTCCGTTCTATCCCATATTTTGTAAAATATTGTTCATCTATCCAGCTCACTCGTGTCTCCCCTAAAAATTCGCTGTAATAGATTTTGCACTGGGATTGTGAAATCGTAGACCGATTAATGCTCGGAAATCGATCGATCGGGTTAACAACGTTTTTGAATCTTATTTTTATTATTTGAGGGTATTCAGATATGTAGCTATGGCACATGATATTTCGGGATCATTTGCGGAAATAAGTTCAATGTTGTCCTCTCTTGAATCCCTTATTTTAACCGATTTATTAGAATTCAAAGGGGTATGACTATTGAAGGGTGGTGGTGTATATGGCCGTTTACACTTGTTATCTTCAATTGAATGGTTATGACTACACCGGGGGGCTAAGAATATACTAGGGTGATCATAGTAATACATGTTATGGGATGCGAATGATATCTTTTGAATTTGAATGTTGAATTTGAAATCTTTTACGTGACAGGAAGAACCTAACATCTATTTAGACGTGACACGGGTAGATGGGCTCTGAGAGCTCACTGCTTCCTACATGACCGGCATTAAAGTCAGAAGAGATAAAAGAAATAAAAAGGAACAATAAATGCCTGAGTTACAATGCCCTGCGCTGCATCCCTATCTTTCAAGCACATCTCCTCTCGGGTCAGAAACAATCTCAGCGTGGTTACCTCCCACCCTGTTCATTCTTCGGCAGGCTGTAACATCGGCTTGTAGTTAAGAATCGAATGAACTTCTGCCATCCCTTCTCCCCTATCATTTCCCTGGCCCCAGGTGGGGCCATTTTCTCATAGATTCTCCAGCTTTGCAAGGCAGGTCGGCACTCTGAAAAATGCCAGGGCCTTTTCTCTCGGCCGCAAACGCATTTCAGATCTTCATGTTCTAGGTTGAAACGTCGATGGTATTTGGCGTAGTCTCCGTGGCCAGTCCTTGCCGCAATTAGACGATGGTACGCCCATCTTGGTAAAGCTAGTTCCGGTGGTCTTTTGCAACGCATGAATAGGTCCAGATCTTTGTATCGTTTCGGTCGATACTTCTGCCACCACTCTTCCACGAGCTCTTGGCTACGCTGTTTAACCCACCTCCCTAATGCCGCAAATGTTAGATCTTGATCTTCTAGAATGGGCGCAGCTGAGGTTAGTGACCGGTTATTGGAAGCTCCCAAGGCTCATTTGGCCAGCTCATCGGCCTCTTCATTGCCTTGAATCCCTATATGCCCGGGTATCCAGCGTATTTCCACACGCTTATTGTGTCTCAGCGATGAAAACTTGTCCACCACCGACTGCGAGGAGTTAGTTCTTCCTCTTTCGAGCGCCTGGGTGGCCGCTTGGTTGTCAAGAAGAATGCAGATTAGTAAGTCTTTTCCTACCTCTATTGCAGCCTTCAAGGCTTTCATGGCACCTACAACTTCAGCATCGAATACCTCTGCTCCGGGAAGTGGACCGGAGCCACTTGTAGCTAGCTTGCCTCCTTGGTATACTACATACCCCCAGGATGATTTTCCGGGACCCGATGATGACCCATCAGAGAAAGCGAAGACTGTGTTAGCTGGGCGGGAAGCTAACTACCGCTTTATGCTTCCAGACCTAGCTTCATTTTCTCGACTACATGGAATCGATGCTGGAGTGCCACGTGGGAAGTATAGCTTTCCGGGGCCTTCGGCTGTCGGAACTCGACGCACACTCATTTGTAGGCGTGTCATGTACCGTTCTGGTTGTCTAAACAAACGATTTCTTTGTCCCGATCTAAGACCTAAGCGTCTTATTGTCTCTTTCGGATCCTCGGTCGCCCGAAGGGCCAGAGGGTGCCAGAAATCCATTCTTCGCATAGGAGCTGCAGACCGCAGCATCTTTTGCTGAAGAATTATCGATGCCGGGGGTATTCCCGCTTCACGATGAAGAGCAACATTGGGGGTGGTACGCCACGCTGGGAGTGCTACTCTAATAGCTTTCATTATCGTTTTTTCCAATAGAGATCTGTGCCAGCCTACTCCAGTGCCGACTTCTTTATCTCGCAGTGTGGTTATTCGAGTGAGACCTGGCCACCACGCTTCTGCCCCGTATAGAGCTGTGCTCAGAACGCATGCATGTACCGCACGAATCAGAGGTCCGGGTGCTGCACCACGTTGAACTCCGTTTATATGTCGTAAGAAATGGACTAGACGATTAGCTTTTCCAGTCCATTCCTGTACATGTTGCTTGAAGTTTAGCTGGGTATCAAGCCAGATTCCTAGCCACCGGATATAAGGTGACGGTTCGATCCGGCGATCTTTCACCAAGATGGAAAGATCAGCCGCGTTGATTTTCTTTCTAGGCCCTCCTCCGGTCACTAGAAGTTCTGACTTTGCTGGGTCAAAATCGATCCTGTGTTCTCTTGCGAGAAGGATAAGGCTATCGAGGTCGTCTTGAGCTGCGGAGATAGCATCCGCCGCGGTGTTTCCAATTCTGAAAATAGCTACATCGTCAGCATAACCAAACCTACTCGTTAGACCATGATCCTCAAAAAGCACAGCGATGTAGAGCATGAAAAGAAGTGGCGATAGTGGCGAGCCCTGAGGTACTCCATATTCCAGTATCTTCTCTTCTGTGATTCCACCGCGGTATTTGACCTGAACCTTTCGTTGGCAAAGAAATTTCTGAATAAACCAGCACATGGATCGTGGCCAGCCTTGTTCTCGAAGGCGTTTGAGCAGTCGGTTGTGAAGGACTGCATCAAATGCACCTTGAATGTCGAGTGTGACCATAGCCGCACACTTACTACTTCTCATGGCCGCCTCAGCATCATGGATTACACAGGATGCAAGGTCGACTGCAGATCGTCCTGGTACGGAGCCGAATAGTTGTGGGTGAACAACTTGGTGACTTATCGTCAGCCATGCCATTCTCTTACCAACTAGATGCTCAAGTCCTTTGCCTAAACTTGACAACAGCGAGATTGGTCGCCAACCCTTGGCAGTTGACAGATTTCTACCCGGCTTTGGAAGAAGCACAACTTCTGCCACCCTGAAAGCCGTGGGAAAGTAGCCCATTTTTAGACAAGCCTGGTAAAGATCTTTCACGAGAGGTCCTTGATGGGACCAACAGGATTTCAGTAACCGTACCGTTATCTTGTCCGCTCCCGGTGCCGTATCGTTGACAGATACAGTGGTGCTTGTCACACCGTCCAGTGATAATTCCGTATCCCATGGAATACGCTCCTCCTGTCCATTCTCCCAGATAGAGATGTCGTTCTCGCCGCTAAACCCAGCCAAGAGAATGTCTCGTAGCGCACTAGCTCGCTCTCGCGGGTCAGATAGCCACCGGTTTTCGTCGATCTGCAGGGGAGGGGGCTCGGCGGCTGGTCGAGACTTAGCCCATCTCATAAGCTTGAATACCTGTGCGTCAGTAGTCACTGCCTCTACTTGCCTCTTCCAGTACTCTCGCTTGGCTTTTCGTACCACGGCTCTAAAGCTCTTGCGGGCCTCTTTCGCGAGGTCAGGGTTGTCTCTCGCTGCCTTGTACTCTTGCCATTCTGTGCGACATTCATCGGTCAACCATGGCCCAGTTCTTCCGCTTTCG